TAAAAAGGTAAGCAAATTACAATTATTTATTATAAATAAATTATTATTTAAATTCATATAATAAATAATAGGTACAACAGAATAGTGGCTATCCAATTATTGGTATATATCAAGACAAAGCTTGTAATATTTTTAACTTAAAAGACTTTCATAACAATATTGACAATATTTCTATAAATTATAATCCTTGTAAAAATGATTTTATACTTAAAAGTGATGATGATAAAAAAAATCCAGATAAACAAGTTTTAAATTATTTATGCGATGTGCTTGAAGAAGTAATACTATAGTTTTTATAAGGCTTTTATTAATTATTTAATTATATTTATTTTTATTAGAATAAAGCAATTTTGAACAATGCACGAAATAAACCTAAATTAAATCTTTGGCTAAAGTCAATTCATTCCAATTTTAAAGCCTTGGAAACTATGGTTGAAGATATTAAAAAACTTGAAAATCAAAAAACTATGCCTCACACTTGGGAGGATTTAAATCACAATACCATGTATTGGAATTCATAATTATTTTTTTAATTATATAGCATTCATAAATTTTTTTAATTATGTACTTGCGTTAATTTTTTTTTATTAATCATATACTTGAATAATTTTTTTTTCTTTAAATTATATACTTGCACTTGCATTTTAATATTGATTTTAGTTAATAAAAATTATAATCAATATCAATATAGTATTAATATTATTATTATGCCAAATGCTAAAATACTTATCACTGCTATTCTTAGTAAAAAAAAAAAAATCATAGGTTTAATTATAATGTAAGCTGTATTTTTTTGTGGGTGATGCTAGGTCTGCTCGGGTTTTGCCAAGTGGGCTTCCATGTGTGCCAACCTTGGATTTATACTACTGCTTCACTCTGGTTTTGTATAACTCGTACATTACACTATTGTTTTACAATCTCCCAGAATGAGCTGGTGTGACCTAGTTACAGATGTTGATCTGTCCTTACACTCACAGTTGCCGTAACACTGTACTGAGAATTCGAATTTTCGTTACTGGTGGGATTCGAACTCTGTTTTTGCCACTTGGAGGTGTGACAACTTAAACACTTCACTAAGTTGCCACACCCTTAATTACCTTCTTATTAATATACAGAAGAGGAATCTTTACATAATAATCATAAAGTATCAAATGATATAGAAAGAAAAATCAAATCTAAGTTGCCAAACATTGACCTTGAGGCAATTAATTTGTAAGATTTAAAATATTGAAATAATCTTTATAAGGAAAATACTTTACAAGATGAATTAGATAATATGTATATTGCAAATTTGTGACTTTAATATGTACGAAAGAAGTATGCAAAATTTTACTTAGTTTTGAAAATTTTACAAAGAAAACAATATACTCAAGCAGTTAATATTTATGCTTTTGGTGTTATGACGAAATATCAACTGGAAGACTTTTGATATTTATAATTTTGATAACTTTAATATATAAAATGATTTTAAATTTTATTGTATAATTACATGTAATTTTTATTTAATATTTAAAAAATTTTTTTGGCATTTTCTAATAAATTATTCTCTATTTCTATGTTATTTATTACTGTCTCTGCATTATCTGATTCGTCCTCAGTAGTATTTTCAGTACTTTATCAAGAAATTCTTTTTTATTTAAATCTTTTGTCATACTTAACTTTAGAGCTTCGATGTTAATTTTAACTTCATTCCGTAGATAGTCTAAACAAATTAATCATTTAAAATTGCATCTTTGTAAGCAATAGTTATGATAACCATGCTCACATTCAAGAACAATACCATTCTCAGAACAATTAGTGTAGTTAGTACAATCACAGTGTAAATAATTTAATAAACACTTGTATATGGTTTCTTGCAAGTAACGAAGCCTCTTGGAAGGTGATGATCAGTTACTTCATAGTTTAAAGAAGGCAGTCTATAAGTATTAATACCATTTTCAAACAAACTAATAGTTGAAGGATACAAATAGCATGCATTATATATCTTCATAAATATGCTTAAAAAGACCGTAGCACACTTGTAGAATAAAATGTGTAATTGTTTTAATTTGTAAGGATATTTCATAGAATTTACAAAGTGTTGATGAAACATATTATCCTCTTGATTTTGAAATATAAAATGTGCTTCTTTTTGCAATTGATCTGCTATAAAAAATTTAGCTGTATGTTGTTGAATGATACTATAAACAGTTTCTACAGGACAATCACTTAATGACGTGAGATGATTAGTAATTATATTCATTATTGAATGATTAGTAACTGTCCAAAAAAATATATCAGAAAAGAACATCAAAGAGGCATGTTTGTAATTTTTCCAATCAAACTGTAGAAATAAATCACTTCAACAACATAAGCAAGCTTTCTCATAAGCTGCCCAGTCATCTCCTCGATGGTGTACTGCATAAACGTCAAAAACTAAAGGAATTAAATTGCTTAGAAGATCGATTAGATATAAAAATACAAGGTTTTTGCATATAAGGCCAAACTTTGAATGAACTATATTAGATATATCAAGCCACACCACATGCATAAGATGGAGAATTAAGTCGATTCACCATGGCTATAGCTTCTTACTAAGAATTTTTTTTTCCAAATATGCCTTTATAAATATTATTAAATAAAGTTGAATTTTTCTTATAAACAAGTTCCCAACTATTCAAAATATATGAAGGGGCTCCATCATGAGCAAAAATGATGTAACAAATGAAAGGATGACTTCATTATTGAGAATAAGCAGATGCGCAATAGCCTTGCAAATAAAGAACTGACTTGGCCAATCTGCAATATAGGGATTACATAGTTGGAAAGATATTCTTGCATTGACTCTTGATTATACACAATTTGAAGGGCTTTTGTATAATCTTCAACTCCTTTCAAATTGCCTCTGACAAAATTAAAAAGAATAATGTTTTGTATATGCCAGTCGCTCTTTTTTTTACTAACCTATCATTGTAACTATGCAACGTTAGTTTTTCAATGAGCTCATTATCAGAATGATCACCTCTATAATTTTGGATAAGGAACACCAAGACTTGTAATTAATCACTTCTCAAGATGCTTTATTATCAGCTCACTATCAAAAAAATTTGGATTGAGTATCCTGTTATGTGGTATCGCTACTATGGAACATGGGTTAGCCACAATTGTTGTTATATGTGTTGGATGAAATGTGTTTATTGAATCAGACTGCCGTAGAACATGAATATTGTTATAGTTATCAATGTTCAGCACAAAAGCCTTGTTCAAATATATTGAAAGAGCATTTTCTATATATTTTTCATGAGCATCTGAAATTTTTTTTTTCTTTTAGTCTATTACCCTTGATGTTGTAGTCATGTCAAGATTTGCTATTATGTCCAAACCCTTATTACTTATATCTACAGAATCCAAGTAATATGCTAAATCAAATTTAAAAGCATTAATTTTTGTATTATTTAATGATACAAGAAGATAACATATGTATACTATTAATTTTTTCATACAGTCTATGGTTTGATCAATATGTTCAAGTAGCCTAACTGCCAAATAGAGTTAATCAAGGAAATTTTTTAGACCCTCATTGGTTTGAAATACTTCTTGTAATTCATCATACGAATATACAGGGTCTTTATTCGCTACATGTTCTCTTTCATGAAGATTCTTGCCATTGTCTTAATAGCCTCAACAAGATCAACCATACTTATCTCTTCATTTTTGGCTTCTTTTCTAGTAGTAGATTCTACCTCTTTAACTGAAATTTTCACTCATTTAGCAGTTTTTTTAACAGATTTTCAACTTAATTCATATAATATTAATAATACTCTCTTCCCATTTGTCTCTTATTAAGCCCTTATATTCAACCTCTTCCCATTTTTCTTCTTTCAGTAGACGAAATTTTGATGACTTGGTGGCTTTGCAGTTCCCGTATTGTTTAATTTCAGACATGATTTTAGCAAGTAAAAAAATATAAAAGTGGTGGGATTCAAAAAGATTCAGTGAATATGTTATTGAGCAGAGTAAAAGCTTCAAGTTCACTTAGAATAATAAGACCCTTTACTAAGGAGTTAAAGTACCTGGGCTTCTAAAAAAAGTATTGTAAAATGTATAAAAAAAATTTTTTATCAATTGATAATTTTGTGTAACATAGATGGTCTACCTCAACAATGCAGATAGCCACCCCACAGATCAACCTTTGAGTTGATGTGTAGGTTAAACTGTAGGTTCATAGAGAGACATTTATATGATTAGTTAATGTAAATTAATTGTCTGGATAAATTATTTATTTAGTTTAAAGTACTTTTTGAAATGTAATGTTTTAATAACAAAAATCATTGTAAACCCATTTTGAGCTTCTATATTCACCATATAAAAATAATTCAAAATAATCATTACCCTCTAAAATGTTATTTAGATGTGGATGTTTTTATCATTTATTAATAATACTAGTTATATTAACAATATGTAAGTTCTAAATGCTGAATTGAGATGTTGCATGTAGGATTTAACTTAAAGAATTTTATGCATGCCATATTATAATAACAATAAGGATGTACTAATGTTTATATTTTATATAATCTGAACATTGTAATGTTAAAACATTAGTAACTTTGGATTAAATAGTAGGTCGATAATATGTATGAATATATTAGTATTATCATTTTATTAATTATATAGCTAAAGATCATGTTATATCTCTAATAAATGTCATAATAACTAAAGATAAGATTAAATTACTCTAATTCTTTTTCAAAATAGAACGATAATAAATATTGGTTCGCTAATAATTTATTCGCATATTGAGTTTTTTGATCAATTTGAGTTTGGGCTTATTAGTAATAAATATCAATTTACTACA